GGAAGGAACGAACTGTGGAAACTATCGAGGTATCTCCCTTCTAACCTCAGCTGGGAAAATCCTCGCAAGAATCCTTGTAAACTGCCTTCTACCCCTCTCAGAAGACACCCTCCCAGAATCCCAGAACGGCTTCTACCCCTCCAGAGGAACGGTGGACATGATCTTCACTGCACGACAGCTCCAAGAAAAATGCAGGGAACAAAATCGACCACTATACATGGCATTCATTGACCTTGCAAAGGCATTCGACACAGTGAATCGCAGCGTTCTCTGGACCATCCTCCAGAAAATCGGGTGCCCTAACAAATTTGTGAACATTTTGCGGCTCCTCCATGATGACATGATGGCAACAGTCTTGGACAGCAGAGGCTCCCAAAGTGACCCATTTAAGGTGGAATCGGGTATCAAACAGGGATGTGTTATCACCCCAACTTTATTCTCTATCTTCATCACTACGATACTTCATCTTGTTGACAGGAAGTTTCCCACCGGAGTGGAAAACATTTATCGGACAGATGGCAAGCTATTTAACCTCAGAAGACTGAAAGCCAAAACTAAGGTTACAACAATATCTGTTATAGAACTCCAGTATGCTGATGACACCGTTGTCTGTGCGCATTCAGAAGAAGACCTACAAGCCACTCTAAACACCTTCACAGAAGCATACGAGAACCTTGGCCTCTCATTGAACATCGAGAAAACCAAAGCCCTCTTCCAGCAGTCACCAGCCAATCCTTCTCCAATGCCAGAGATACAGCTTAATGGAAAATGTTGACAATTTCCGCTACCTTGGCAACCACGTCTCCACCAAAGTCAACATTGACACCGAAATACAACACCACCTGAGCTCTGCGAGTGCAGCATTTCTCCAAATGAAGCAGAGAGTATTTGAGGACCAGGACATTCGTAGGGATACCAAGGTGCTTGTTTATAAAGCTATTGTCCTCCCAATCCTGCTATATGCCTGCGAAATGTGGACTATCTACAGACGTCACATGCAACTCCTAGAACGATTCCACCAGCGCTGCTGCCGGAAAATCCTGCAAGCAGACAAATGTCAGCGTGCTGGAAGAAGCAAAGACCACCAGCACTGAAGCGATGGTCCTCCGCCCACTTACACCCCCCCCCCCAGTTGTTGATAAACTCGCTTATTGATGAGATTATTATAGATTTCTCGGGGAAACACATGTCACTATACAGATTTCCAGAAAATGCACTTAGTATATATTCTTGCCAATTTGTATTATTTCTTTCCTTGCATATGTATGGGAAAACATTCTGTTGTCATTTCACTTGCAAATAGTCCTCCTCTTCCATGCAGTATAGTCTGTAGCCCAGAACCACACATTGATGCATTTTATTTAATCTATAGATATCATGTTATAAGTTGTTTTTATGTTAGGTTATTTTGGGCTATTATGTTTGTATTTATTGTTGCATTGAGGCATTGTATGTTTGCCTTTTTTGTTTGTTGGAATCCGCCCTGAGTCCCCTCAGGGAGATAGGGCGGAATATAAATAAAGTATTATTATTTGATACACAACAAGATTAGCACACAGCAAACAAGATCTCTATGCTGTCTTTTGTATTTGATTACAAATCAGACACTTGCCAAGTGTCTAGGACTGTGTAATGTATCAGTGAATAACAAGTACAAATTCTGCAGATGAGAGGTGGTAATTTTGTCAGCTCCGATTGTTTTTAAGTATAGGCCAAGGTCTTTAGGCACTGAATCCAGTGTGTCGATCACCACTGGGACCACCTTTACTCCACATTGAGGGCATTGGTTTCCAGATGGAAAGTGGTCCCAGTCAGGGGTTTAATGTGTTTTCCTCTTGTCACATTTCTTCCTTTCTCCCTCCTTTCATGCCTCTTTGAATTCTGCAGCACTGCTGGTCACAGTTGACCTCCAGTTAGAGTGCTCAAGGGCCAGGGCTTCCTAGTTCTCAGTGCCTATGTTACAGTTTTTAAGGTTAGCTTTAAGGTATTGATCATATCCTCCCTTTAATGCTACCTGCCAGATGTCTCAGTCAATAAGACACATATCCCAGCCTGCCATGGCCCTTGTATTCAAAAGGTGCAATTCACAGCAGTGGTAACAGCGGCCTGCTCCAGTCTAACATTACCGCTCATATTGACAAAAGTCTGCTACAGCCTAATATTACCACTCATACTAACAACAGCCTGCTACAGTCTAATATTATATTTTTCACAAATATGTCTCTTGCTTACTGCTAAAAAGGAAAACACTGGAGTATTCTGTCACCTTCCATGTCAGGAGTAACTTGAGAAACTACAAGTTACTTATTGTTGAGAGAATTAGCTGCCTGCAAGGATGTTTTCCAGGGGATGCCTGGATGTTTTGATGTTTTACCATCCTTGTGGGAGGCTTCTCTCATGTCCTCGTCTGGGGAGCTGGAGCTGACAGAGGGAGCTCATCCGTGCTTTCCTCAGATTTGAACTTGCGACCCATTGGTCTTCAGTCTTGCTGGCACAAGGGTTTACCCATTGCACCACCAGAGGCTCCATTCTGTCACTGATAAGCTATGATGTTCCTGCCATGCCCTGTGATGCCATATACACATATAAGGGACAGATTTGAGGAAGGATAAGATATCATGGAAACAGAAAGCTTTTCACAGGAGAATCTGGGGCAGCCATGAATGTGGAGACCTGTTGACAAAAGACAAGGGAGAAGATGGGGAAAATGAAGGGATAGTGAATAAGAGTGAAGATGTGGGGCAACCAGGATTTGCTTTTGCTGCTATTGCTCTCAGGTGAAATACTTACTTACTTAGGCGATCCCTCGTTGTCCGAGTAGGATAGATTTCCAAGATTGGTGTTCTGGTGGGTCCATAGGTGACTGTGGAGCCCTATTAGAATAATAGAATCAAAGAGTTGGAAGAGACATCATGAGCCATCCAGTCCAACCCCCTGCCAAGAAGCAGGAATATTGCATTCAAATCACCCCTGACAGATGGCCATCCAGCCTCTATTCTTGATCTGCATCTTCTCCCGCAGTGAGGGCATTGGTTTCCAGGTGGAAGGTGGTCTCAGTCGGGCATAGACACTGAGAACTGGGAAGTCCTGGCCCTTGAGCACTCCAGCTGGAGGTCAGCTGTGATCAGCAGTGCTGTATAATTTGAAAAGGCACTAATGGAGGGCGAAAGAGAGAAACGTGCCAAGAGGAAAGCACATCAAGCCAATCCCGACCGAGATCAGGTGAAATATCTTGTCAGGCAAAGGTTGCCCAGAAAGTACAGACAAAAGAATGGAAAGGGTGGGAAAAAAGCTTATACTCAGGGACTCCTTTCTTTGCATTTGTCTGACATGAATCACTAGTTGAAAGGGGTTTTTAAAAATACTCCTGTGCATTTTAGCTTTTCCAGCCACCAGACTCGGAGGCGAAACTACACGCTTCTGAATTCAGGAGAGGATGAGAGAACGAAAATAGCCTTCCCAAAGCAGCAAACGAACTGCAGGTTATAGCTGGCCAAGCAAAGTGTTCCTGAAGCCGTACATATTTAATGAGCCTTGTTTGCTACAGCGAAGAAACACGGCTATCCCACTGGTTATGGATGGAGGGGCATTTCTGCTGGAGAGAAGAGGTCGCGGAAGGGGAAAAACAACAGCACGCAGTCATGGCCAGCCTTCCTCTCAGAGAGATTCAGCACCAAGAGATGCCGGACAGCTCCAAAGCCCGAAGCCTCTCCGGTTCCTAATGCAAAGTCTTGAGTTTCCTCGTGTTGTGCTTGGAAAGGGAGGATGTTTAAGACCAAAAGCAGGTTTACTGTCGCCTTTTTTTTGGGTAGTCTGAAGAAACTGCTTTTAAGGGTGAGTAAGAGACCGTCATTTTGCTTCAGGAGACTTGTTATGGCGCCTGTGTGGAGTCATGTTGCCTGTTATGGTTTGTATCAAGCCTGGGCAAACTTGGGCCCTCCAAATGTTTGGCCTTCAACTCCCACCATTCCCAACAGCCTCAGGCCCCTTCCTTTCCCCCCTCAGCCGCTTAAGTGGGAGTTGAAGTCCAAACACCTGGAGGGCCCAAGTTTGCCCGTGCCTGTTATACATTGTCAAATTAATGCAGTTTGCCACCACTTTAACTGCATTGGCTCAATGCTATGGAGCCTTGGGAGGTGTAGTTTGGTGAGGCACCAGCTCAATTTGGCAGAACTTATGGAACTACAACTCCCAGAATTTCCATAACATTGAGCCATGCTGTTAAAGTGGTATCAAATTCCATTCGTCCTGTTCTTGGTCCTGAGGGAAACTCAAATCTTAGCCCAGGCATGGACAAACTTCGGCCCTTCGGGTGTTTTGGACTTCAACTCCCATAATTCCTAACAACATATGACAATGTGTTTACTAATAGCTGTTAGGAATTGTGGGAGTTGGTCCAAAACGCCTGAAGGGCCCGAGTTTGCCCATGCCTGTCGAATTAATGCAGTTTGCCACGACTTTAAGTGCCTTTGCTCAATGCTATGGGGCCTTGGGAGGTGTCGTTTGGTGAGGCACCAGCTCAGTTTGGCAGACCTTGTGGAACTCCAACTTCGAGGATTTCCATAACATTGAGCCATGCTGTTAAAGTGGTATTGAATCCCATTCCTCCTATTCTTGGTCCTGAGGCATACTCAGATCTTAGCCCAGGCATGGGCAAACTTTGGCCCTCCAGGTGTTTTGGACTTCAACTCCCACAATTCCTAACAGCTATTAGTAAACACATTGTCATAGGTTGTTAGGAATTGTGGGAGTTGAAATCCAAAACACCTGGAGGGCCGAAGTTTGCCCATGCCTGGGAGGTGTAGTTTGGTGAGGCACCAGCTCACTTTGGCAGACCTTGTAGAACTCCAACTCCCAGGGTTTCCATAACATGCTGTTAAAGTGGTATCGAATCCCATTCGTTCTACTCTTGGTCTTGAGGAAAACTCAGATCTTAGCCCCCCGGATTCTCCCGCCTTTTCCACCCCGCTCTCCCCCTCCCTTCTCCTCCCCAACTCCTGATTGGTCGCCTGGGGCCCTGAGGGGGCGTGGCGTGATGACGCGCGGGCCCCCCAGAGGCGCCGGAGGTATAAAAGGCCCCTTGGGGCAAGGAAGGGAGCCGCAGTCAGCCTGTGTCTTCTCTGAAGATGCCTCGGGGTTTCCTGGTGAAGCGGAGCCGGAGGCCGGGGGGCTGCTACCGGGTGCACCCTGGAGCCAGGACCCCTTTGGAGGACCCCTCCTCGCCTTTGCCTTCTTCTTTTCCGGCGCCGAGGCAGGAGGAGGAGAAGGAGGAGGAAGAGGAGAAGAAGCCTCTGCTGGAGTCTCCTTTGGCGGCGGCTTGGAGCGCGGGAAACTCATCCCAGGCGGCTTTGGAAGAAGAGGAGGAGGAGGAGGCCAAGCCTTTGCTCCCTCGCACGCCGCCGCCCTTCCCTCTGCCCTTGCCTTCCTCACTCAAGAGGCCCCCGCGGCCCAAGAAGCCCAAGGCGGCGCGCAAGCTGAGCTTCGCCGACGAAGTGACCACTTCCCCGGTGCTGGGGCTGCGCATCAAGGCGGCGTCCACGGAGGAGGAGGCGGAGGAGGAAGGCTCGCGGCGGAGGCTGCTCTCCTCGCGGGGCGGCTTCGTGTGCCAACTGTGCAAGGAGCCCTACGCCGACCCTTTGGCGCTGGCCCAGCACCGCTGCTCCCGCATCGTGCGCGTCGAGTACCGCTGCCCCGAGTGCCACAAGGTCTTCAGCTGCCCGGCCAACTTGGCCTCGCACCGCCGCTGGCACAAGCCCCGCCCGACGGCACAAGCCCCCGCCGCGCAAGGCATCGGCAAAGAGAACAGCCGCGAGCAGCACCACGGAGCCGGGATCAGCACCACGGACAGCGGCGCCTGCTGCAGAAGAGACGCGCCGGACAGCGCCTCGGCCGTCCCGCCCAGCGGGGAGCTCTTCCTCTGCCCGTATTGCCACAAAGCCTTCCGGAGGCAGGCCTACCTGCGCAAACACCTGGGCACGCACCAAGTTGGAGGGCCCTCCGCCCCCCCCTCCTCCTCCTCCTCCTCTTCCTCCTACAGCCCTCAGCCCCAGCAGATCAGTTTCCCTTGCCACTTGTGCGGGGCGCACTTCCCCTCGGCGGACATCAGGGACAAGCACCGGCTCTGGCACGCCGTGCGGGAGGAGCTGCTCCTGCCTTTGGGGCCGCCCGAGGCCCATGTCGCGGAGCAGCAGCACCAGCCACAGCCACAGCAGCAGCAGCAGCAGCAGATCTTCTCCTGCAAGCACTGCCCTTCCACTTTCTTCAGCTCGCCGGGGCTCACCCGGCACATCAACAAGTGCCACCCGTCCGAGCACAGGCAGGTCCTCCTCCTGCAGATGCCCCTCCGGCCGGGATGCTGAGACGGAAAAGAACTACCAAACGCAGGGCTCCCTTGGAAGTCCTCCTCCCTTGAAAGTCCTCCTTTGGAAGTCCTTCCCACGTGGAAAGAGAACAGCCGGGATCAGCACCACGGACAGCGGCGTGATGCTGGAAGCATCTCTTTGACTCTCCCGCCTCCCCCTCTTGCCCTGTGGCCTTGTCCTTCCTTCACCTCCTGAGGACCAAGTCCAAACAGGCTTGGTGCATCTATCACAGTGGTCCTCAACCTGTAGGTCTCCAAGTATTTAGGCCTACAACTCCCAGAAATCCCAGCTGTTAGGATTTCTGGGAGTTCAAGGCCAAAACATCTGGGGACCCACAGGTTGAGAACCACTGATCTAGAATGAATAGGAGCCCCCTGTTGCACAATGGGTTAAGCCCTTGTCTCGGTAGGACTGGTTGGCCAGACAGGTTGGCAATTCAAATCTGGGAGCAGGTTAAGGTTGAGACACCCGTGGTGCAGTGGGTTAAACTCTTGTGCTGGTAGGACTGGTCAACCAGAAGGTTGGTGGTTTGAATCTGGGGAGCGGGGTAAGCTCCCCTCTATTGAGCTCTAGCTTCACATGCGGGGACATGAGAGAAGTCTCCCACAGGATGGCAAAACATCAATCATCCCGGTGTCGTCCTGGGCAACATCCTTGCAGACGGCCAGTTCTCTCACACCGGAAGCAACTTGCAGTTTCTCAAGTTGCTTCTGATACACATACACAAAATCTAGAATGAGTGCAGTTTCACACTTGCCCTTGCTCAAGGCTATGCGATCCTGGGAATTATACACTTTGGTTTGGGATCAGCACTCTTTGGAAGAGGAGACTAAAGATCTTCCATGATTCCATAGCAAAGTAGTCAGGCTTTAATCATTCTACAATGTGAAGATAAGGCATGGGAAAGCTTTGGGTGTTAGGAATTATGGGAGTTAAAGTCCAAAACCCTGGAGGGCTGAAGTTTGCTCATGCCCGGTGTAGGTGCATCTCTTTTCTTCTCTTGGTCCACATAGGTTGCATTTAGAATAGGCATGGGCAAACTTTGGCCCTCCAGGTGTTTTGGACTCCAACTCTCACAATTCCTAACAGCCTCAGGCTCTTTTCTTTCCCCTCTCAGCCGCCTAAGCTTAAACAGCTGAGGGGGGAAAGGAAGGGGCCTGAGGCTGTTAGGAATTGTGAGAGTTGGAGTCAAAACACCTGGAGGGCCAAAGTTTGCCTATGTCTGATTTAGAGTGTAGAAAGAATGCATGTTTACATCCTTTTAGCTGCCATTACTTAATGCTATGGAATCCTAGAATTGTAGTTATTTTACAAGGTAGTTTAGCCTTCCTTGCCAAAGAGTGCTCGCCAAACTATAGCTCTCAGGATTCCACAGCACTGAGCTGTGGCAGTTAAAGGGGTCTCCAACTGTTAGGAATTGTGTGAGTTGATGTCCAAAACACCTGGAGGGTTGAAGTTTACCCATACCCGGTGTAGCTGCACCTCAAGTTGGAAGAGCACAGCCAAAACGAATCAACACACTTTGAAATGAGCTGTGCCAAATGTTTTTTTTAAATTAATGGTCACAAATTGCCCTTGCTGCCTTATAAAGGGGTTATAATGAGGAGTACCTTAAATGAAACTTTCCTCCTGCTGAAATTGTTTCAGCAAAACACACCAATGCTTTAGGGAGAAGATACCCCTTCTTCCACCTTAGGACTTAAAAACTGCCCTGCGTTGAGAAAGAAAAAAAGAAACTTTTCTGTGCGCTTAATACTACAGTGTAGCCAAACCTAGAGCCATCTGTGTGCCTAACTTGTGTGAGTAAGCTGCCGGGGGAAGAGTGGGACCTACACAATGTTCACTCTATTTATTCCTGTATCTGGGATTGAAGTATATCTCAATACTTATTTACAAGACCAGAGGGGGGAGAACAAAAAAGTCTTTATATATTTAATTGTTGGAAACAGCTTCCCCAGCTTCTGGTTTTAAAACATTTAATTTACAGTGAAGTGTTTTATTCGTTGTACCCTGTATTGCAATATAGTCAAGAGATTAGTAGCAAGTCAGCATCTCATCCTGTCAAACCCCTACAAGTGCTTCTTCTTCTGTCTGCTCTTGCTCGTTGCTGGCTATTAAATTCTGGATTGGTGATGGTTTCTTTATTCCTTGTGGTTATTTTACCTGTTTTCTAGTATCTTGTGTGGAATTCACTTAGGCTACAAAAATACAAACGGTAAAAGGGTGTGCCCTCCACACAGATACAGCGAGTTCAAATTCACCACGTTCAAAGCAAGTCCATGGTTTTAGATTTTTCAAACATTCCCATCCTACACAGCATATTGTTTATGAAACCAGATTATTTTAACTACAGATTTCAAGATGGCATAGGTATCATTATGCCATCTGTTCAGTACAATAGCCACACAGGGAATCAAGGTAGTTGGTGTATTGAACTTTACTGGGATGAAATTATTTTCTGTTGCTGAGATTAAGAAATGTCAGCTTTTTGGAGATTCTGGTAACCAGGACTATATGTTCTAAATTTTTCACGGATGCATTTTCAAGAAGTCCATTCTAAATTTTTTGATAAGTTTTATACATCAATTTTGCAAATGTGTAAAAAGACGATGTTCAATGAAGCACACCAGTCAAGCACAACTTAGGTTTTACTTCATGTTTATGTATTTCCGATATAATTTGCCTGTGGCTTCTACATATAATTTATAAGGACTAAGATGAGGAATATTTTAGGTGACATTTTTATTCATTTTGAACATAAATAAAAATGCTTTTCAATGAATTGCATATAATTTATCCATGTTATTTTGACACTTATCATGCCACCTGAAAAACAACTTCTACATATAAAAGCAGGAAGTTGAGGAATATTTTTCAGCTGAATTTTTAAATATTATTTCTTTCAGATATTCTAGAAGTTATTTTTGCACTGTAAGCTGTACAATGTAGGTATTTTCGTTCTGAATTTAACCTTACGAACACGCAAGAAAACGATTTTCAGATTTTTTGGCATGTTAAAGGATGTTTTCAGCACAATTAATGTGACATTAAATACTTTACTTTGTACAGCTTTATCAAGCTGGTTAATCAAAATTTACACAACTAAGGAAATTTGTGATTATTAGACAGTACAAAAGAAAGTGAACTGACTAAGTCATCTTTGAACTAAATTGTTTTAAGTGAAAAGACTTAGTGCAGGGGCTTTGCAAGCTTACAACTAAATGGTCAGCTATTTATTTCATAGCTGTCTTCTGCTCTTCTTCACATCGAGCAGGTTTGTGCAAATCAGTATTTGTAGGAGAATACAGAACACACCGAAAGTGGTAAGAATAATTTTATTGTATTATTAAATAGCATGTCTTTTCTTCAACCATTACAAATTTGTATATACTACACGGTGAACAAAAACATCAATATATATTTCTATAGTTGCCCGGGTGAAGGCAGATATTTACACATGCAGTTAGTACCGGTGCCATGCTACATTTTGTTAGAGCAGAATATGGCAAACGATGCAGCTGTATTTCTTCTTCGGTATGAAAATACATTTGGGGGGTAGTGGGAATTTGGAGTGGAATGTGTTAGCGTATAAGTTGGCCGCTACAAGGGCACAGTCCCTTTCCTCCCTGTAACGGACACAGCTTGGAGCAAATGATTGACATGGCAAAGTGCTTGAAAAATATATGTGTGGGTGTGTATGTGTTTTTATCTTACACAACTAGATTAAAGGACAGTTTCACTTTTTGGAAAAGGAAGGCCGACTGTAGCCATAAGTCCCAAGAGGCAAGCAAATAACTGCAAGGGAGTAGAAAGCACTTCAGCACTAGCACTTCAGCTGGTGTTTCTGTCCAGCAGTGAATGACAATACCAGAGGTGATGATGTTTACTTGAAAGGATTTTTATCCTTCATACATACACATATACTCTGTACGTAATTCTGAGTGTTTGAGTGAGCTTTGCAGAGGACTTCAGAAATGCCTTGTCATTTGAAAAGTGGTACGTTTTTATTATTGAAAGGGTTGCACAATAAATAAGACTGGAACATGCCTGCAGTCTCCAGCTCTAGGGTGGCTAGCAATCACTCCTAATGGTTAAAACAGAGTGGTTACCTAACAGCTGAACATATCTCAAAGGAAAAAAATTAAAAAGTGCAAAAAAGGGAACCTGCACTGGCAAAGTATGGCAGCAGGAAGTCTGATAAAAAAATATTCTAACGAAAGCTAAAATATTTTTAGTTTGAAATAAAATTTCCGTATCATTCTCTAAAATTAATATAAGAATGGAGGAATATAGAACAAATATTCAGCGTAGCAAGTCAGATTTCAAGGGTGTACTGGCTTCAGAATTGTCCCCTGTTCTCAGGTCTTGTTTGCTGAGCCAGAGGATCGCCGCAGCTTCATAGACATGCGACTCTTGCTAGACCGGGGTGAAATGGGGAAGGCTAGATCGGGCCCGTCCATCTGCGCTGCTGTTGGAGTTTCGGACGCCTGAGTCTCTGGGTAGGAGCCTACCAAAAAAGAAAAAAAAAAGAAGACAAAAAAGACCATACACATTAGATCAAACTGCTAAAGTAAAGGATCAGGAAAGATCAAGCCCCAAGGAAATAGCTGCCCTTTTGTTGTTTGATGCAGAAATAAAAATGCTAGTTCAACTGCCAGGAGAAACAACAAACCCATTGCATTCTATGCAGTCAGATAAACGCAATGGCTAAAGAATGCTCCAACTCTATGCTCCAAAGGAACTAGTTCGTAAAAATAATGCAAGAGGGCTGGGAAGGCACTGAAAAGGCACCAGGGTGGCAACTATTTCCTGTTCTATACTCTTGATACACACATTCCTATTGGATTCAACAGGGCTGAAGCATGCTAGTTGAATGCACTACATGATATGTTTTCTTTGTAAAAGGAACAAGATGAATTTGGGAGGAATCCTGGTTCATACCCCACAGTAGCATGGCTTCCAACACATAGGACAAAAGATAAAGGGGCAGGAACAGCAGCATGGGAATCACCTTGCCAATGTTTCTGCAGCAACAAAAATTTCTATGAGATGCGGAATAGATCAGCATTTATTTACAACCACAATCAGTCCTTTGAGTTACATACAAATCGTAGTTCTCAGAAAGAAAATGCACGTTTGCTTGGTTTTAGCTGCTAAAATAGGTTGTAGATTACAAAATGAATACTTTCATAGAAGTAGAAAGAGCACCATTTCTTCTGTTTTTAAAAATGAGATGGTACCAATAGTAGGAGAGATTTATACCATCTACTAATGAACTTGTATAGTGTCAATTCTATCCTTCTTTCAGATCCCTCTAACTACACTTTTAAGGGCAGTGTACTATTTCCCTAGGCAAAAAGGCCTGGACAAATGTCTGGACAAATGTGATTCCTATTTTAGATACAAGTACTTAAAACTACAGTGTCACCCCCCGTCTCCTTACCCATGGATTCAATATACATGACTTCGCTTACCTACACTAAAAAAAAATCCTTCAGCTCCCACAATTCCTAACAATTAGTAAACTGGTTAGAATTTCTGAGAGTTAATGTCCAAAACAACTGGAGGACCAAAAATTAGGAGCCACTGCTCTAGGTCTTTCATTGTGATTCTATGCCATACTTCCAATTCTAGTATAGTAAAAATATAGGGCTTGATATTATCCAGGATTTCGGGTAACTTCATGTGTGAATTGGAACATATCCCCTGTGGATATGGGGTTAGTATTTTACCTCTACTATTTTCCTGAATTTTGTTTTTCATCAGAGGAATATGTGCCAATTCTGAAATTAAATACATAATCCATTCTTAGAATCAAACAAATCCACATTTTGATACTAAGTGTATATTTTGACATATAGCCAATTGTTTTGAACAGATCTTATGGCCACATACATATTACCATAAGATTTTCTGTAAAGTGCAGCTGGGATTAGTAGGCCACATTTGTTCAGTCTGTTTGTCAGGGATTCTGCATATTGCAATATTTAAAGTAAAATATTTCCTTCCATGTGCTCAGCTGTTACAAAACCAATCAGAGCATCTTTGCTTCAGAACTGGTTTAACTGATCCACAAGCCAGATTCGAACGGTGGAAGTTGCTAGCTTTGACTTGCTAACATTGCACTGTGCACTGTATGAAATTGTGTTCTAAATGGTCCCCTAATTTTCAGAGGTCATTTCAGAAGTGTAGCTGCAATGGAAAGGCTCCCCCAGAAAAGATTTCTCATAGATCGCACTGTGGGCTCCATATATGAAACAAACTGATTTTCTTTTTGGACATAAAATCTAATTTAAAATGTTATATTTTCATACTGTATATCTAGTATTACTACTACTTAATAAAAAAATACTTAAAAGCAGAAACTTGCTTTAAGAAAAGATTTTCACTAGCCTTGTAGTAACACAAAATCTACCTTAATGCCTGGACTCCTCCTGGAGGCAAATAAATCTCAGGAAACATTTCTTGCTTTCATTCTGCTAGATTTCCTAAAGAGGTTACTGCAAGCTATGATGGCTGGGTCAGAAGTCTAATACTGCTTTTAACAGCACACTGCCACAAGCCTGATCTAATAACTCAAATGCTATTGTGTCTGCTTTGGCCAAACACTCTCTGTAACTGGCAAAATCCCTCACTTTGCTCTCCAAATGGGGATGTTTCTCTTTATGATCCAGGCTTAGCAGCTCCAAACAATCTACAGAGGAATGATAGTGATAACAGAATATTTATTGTCGCTTTTGGGGGAAAAAAACAAAACAGCTCTCTTCCACACAGGAAAATGCTGTGCGCGGTGTGTGTTTTTGTTTTAAAAAGCCATACCTCCCTGAATAAACAAATACTCAGAAATTCTATCTTGTTCTACTTTTACAAGGAATTAAAACAATCCAAATGGTGGGGTAGGTAGAGCGTAAAAAGTAACCGTTGGTGCTCTGCACAGCATACCATTCACAGCTAGCGTGAAAGACCTTCCGTTTCAAGCCTTTGCCCTTTACCTTGAAGTGGCCCATGCTTTCTAGTGGTGGCTTGGGAAGGAGAAGAAATATCACACCATTTCTTTCTTTGTTGAGAATGAAGAAGTGATGAAGGAGAGGTGGAGAGAAGTGAGGAAAAGGGAAGAAAGATAAAA